TAAACCTAGGTGTCCCAATATGATAGGTGTTAAGCTTTATGTATATGCAAACCTTCCAGATATAAGTGAAAACTTCTTGGTTTATCTTTTGCTATACTAGAATACATTTAAGTCCTTGACTCTCATATATTTATATATTACCTAAAATTACTTTATTTTCATATATACACATACATATATGCATGTGTGTATGTATATATATATATTATATGTTACCTAAAATTACCTTCTTTTCATAATAATACATACATATATATATATATATATAATATATATATGTTTGTATGTATGGGAGTAGGGGACTTAAATATATTTTGTCATTAAAGCATTAAACTTGCTGCTCCAGCTTTCTTTTGGTTAATTTCCCTGGTTTTATGGGAAACCTTTTTTGGGAAGCCCTTCTGTATTATGTGTCTTTTGTAAATAATACATTGTTGGATTTTATTTTTTTATCCAATCTGAAAATCTTTTCTAGGATTTCAGTTCCAGGTGATTATGGGTGAATTTTCTCTAGTTTTCTTTTTAGTTATTGATTACATAGATTATAACAATTACTCTGTTCTAGGTCATTCTTTACTTGCCTTACCTTGTTGCTTTTTCCTGAATTTATTTCTCTTACCTGCATTATATTCCTCAAGACTTCTTTTAAATAATGTCTTTGTGTGGTGACTTTTCTGAAACCTTGTATGCTGCTAATATTTTTTTTGTATTTAAATAATAGTTTATTAGCTATATCTTAATTATAGGTTCACAGTTACTTTCCTGTAACACTTCATCTTGAGAGTTGTTATTACTTCATTGTCTTCTTGCCTCCACTTTAGTGTTCAGAAGTCTAATATCAGTGTTATTCTTCCTTTGTGGAGGGGTCTCCTTTTTCATTCTGGAAGCTTTTTGACTTTTCTCTTAATTCATTATAGTCTTAAATATCCTTGTAATATGCTTTGCTGTGGATTTTTAAACATCCTTTTCAGCACTCTATGTGCCCTTTCAATCTGAGATTTGAATATTTTTATATCTGGGAACTCTCTGTCATTATTTCTTCAAATGTTTCTTCTCTTCAATTTTTTCATTACTTCTAGGATTCTCATTATATGGATATTTACACTTCTCCTGTTCTTAATTCTATCACTTGTTCGTCTTGTCTTTTTGCCCCCTCCCTATGCCTCTGTAATAGTTCTTCTACCCAGTTTTCCAGCTTATTAATTCATTCTCTGTCTGTATCTATTATGTTTTCAATCCATTCTCTGAATTTTTTATTTCAAATGATTATGTTTTTAATACTCACTAACATATATTGATTCTTTTTCATAACAGTATTTTTATACTTATATTTCTAAAACTCATCTATTTGAAGATGTTATTTTGTTTACATTCTTCTTTAGTTTATTCTGTTTTATCTGGATAAGATTATTATTTTTTAAAATTTCTGTTTATACATCTTAAGATTTTTCTTGTGGGTTTATCTTTTGTTTACTAAAAGCATTTAGCTGCTTTGACTTGTAATTTTAATCTAAAAGGAAGGGTAAAAACCTAGGTTCTGACTTGTATTTTTCCAGGTTAGTTTAAAAACTAGAGTAGAAAACCTCTAGTGTTCTAGTTTAGCCTCAGCTACTTTCCCCATTGTGGCTCCCACTCCCTCAAAAACAGTTAAGAAAAAAAAAAAAAAAAAGAAGAAAGAAAAGCAGAAGAACAACCCACACCTTACACATGTTCATGTACAACCATGCATGTGTACCTTCCTCCTAGTACTACTGTTATGTCTTAGGCAGCCATTCACTATTGCAAATTGCCTTGCTTTTTACATGGGTTGGAGATAGAGTGGGGCTAAGTAGTATTGCTCAGACACCTGAGCTGGAGTTGGTTGCTACTAACTCTACCCAAGCCTGTCTTGTGATGATCAGATATCATACCCTTAAATATATTGATTCAGGCATTGTATTGAGTGCTGGAATATAAAAATTAAAAAGATGTAACACATATCTTCAAGGAGTTTTTATTTCACTGGTTTGAATGGGAAAGTAAACTGGCATTTATAAAATACTGTGATCAGTTCTGTGGTGGGACATGCCCAGAGTATTATGGAAACGTATAGGAAGAATTTATTAAATAATTTGTGGGAAAGGGAGAAGGTTTCCCCAATTGAAGAATGGTTTAGGATGAGTCCTGTAGGGTGGATTTTTGTTAGATAGACAGGGAAGATTAGAGGTGGCTGGGAGAAAAGGAACATTTTAGGTAAAGGGAGAAAGTGGTTCAATGGTGAGTAAAACCAGGTTAGTAGTTTGTTGTGGCTGCTCTTGTACTTTTCCTGTAATGTAGCTTTGACAAGACAATAGAAAGAATAGGTAAACTGAAGTATAGTAGGATATTGTAGATTTTAAGAAGAGAATTGACATAATTAAGCTTACATTTTAGAAAGATTTTCCTGTGTTATGCAGAACGAATTGACATGGGACAAGGCAGGAACTATTGACATCCAGTAAGAGGGCTGTTGCAACAACTTAGGAAGAAAAGATGATGGACTGAAGTAACGTAAAAGCTGTGAAGATAGAAAGAAATAGTTAGATCTAATGATAATTAAGGATGTTAGATAGCCAAGACCCTGTGGTTGATTACATTTGATAGTGAAGGAAAGGGAATGTGTCAAAAATGATGACTAGTTTTTTCCCAGGCATGCCATTAAAAACATTTTATAAATATATTTTAATGTAAAGTATTGCTAGAAACATAGCAAAGAAATAGCCTACTTTTCCTTTTTGTTATAAAGAACAGTTTCTTGTCCTGATTCTAAAATACAAGCATCTCAGAAAATTAAGTGATTTTTCCCTAAGATTGTGGCAGGCTCAGTTGAAAGCAAACCTACCCTGAAATGAGGCTATTTACAGTCTTTGTTTATCCCGTTTTATGTGGACATTAATATGTTTGTTTCAGAATTATTAATGTGTATGATGATGAGATGCTGCATCAGACCCTACTGGCAGCATTGTATGACATACCTTAACCTTTCTGAAATCTGTAATATTCTGATAAAGCATATCCAGCCCCAGTTATTTCACATAATCAAGTATGGACTTATATTTTGAATCTGGTCATTTTTGTTCATTTTATATTGCAATATTATTTTCCAGTAAGAACCATTTTTGACAATATGGCTGTGGGAGGAAACGAAGTAGATGTGTATTATATAGCACAAACTCTAAGATAGATTGCCAAGTGAAGGTACAAAATAGTGTGTATAATATACTTCTATTGTGGATTTAAACAAACATAGATGGGGAAAGAGACATACAGAGGCACACACACAGATACACATACACACATGAGTGCATAGAACACCTTCAGAAAGATAAGCCAAGATTAAGAACTGAGAGTCAGTGATGGAAGGAAGATTTGATTTGTGTGTGTGTTTGTGTGCGTGCACGCGCGCACACACACGTTGCCCTGTTCAAGTGTTTCACTGTTACTTTTTTTTGTTTAAATTTTGTTATACAAATAACTATATTTTAATGTTCTTGTGAAAACATAAAGACTCATTTGACTCCCAGCTCCAATAAATACATTAATTTTGTAATGATAAAGTATAAAATAATTATTTATATAGATAGTAGCCTTCTCTCGCACCTTGCAGTAATTAATTCCTATCATTTGTCAGTAGGACTGCAGACATTAGAGATTAAAGAATGAGTTTCAGAAACCATTAAATAGCTAAACATTGAATATATAGTTTTGATAAGATTGCCAGAAGCAGGAAATACAGAAAAGAATGGCTGAAAATTAGTGCTAATCAGTAGAAGTGGAAATTTATTCCTAATATATCATAGTGGGCCATGAGAGCAAAGGTTGGAAGCCATGAGTACAGTTTTCAAGCAGCAAATCTAAAGGAAATAAAATGGAGAGATTTGGAAAGATAGTATAGCAAGACAAAGGAAACAGGTAAGTATATCTCTGGCAAAGAAAAAATAGAAGACAGAAATAGAAAAGAAAGTTGAGACCCCTCAGAGAAGCAAGGAGGTGTGGGAAAAAGATTAAACATCATGAATATAATAATACTGTTTATTGTTGGAGGATTTATATTAATAATTACTTTCAGCAGTGTGCTAGGAGTATAATTTCTTGTTTAAAAAGGTAATGCTTGGTAGTTATAATGGAACTAAAATATTGCTTGACCAGAATGAGAAAAGCCAAAGTTCATTTGTCACAAATAAATTAGTACAGATTGAAATCAGAAAAAATTTAACTGTTTGCCACATTTCAACAGTGTGTATTTAAATTATGTTTGCTACTTGTAGAAATACTTCTATTTTTAGTTCCATAAGCAGTCTCTTTTACAGTATAAAGCAGGAAATTTAATATTTTCAATTAAGTATCATGATACTTAAAATATATCATGGTATTTGATGTTTATGTTTTCTTTTGTGATATTTTCTTTTTTAATATTAAAATGATCTTAGGTCCTGGTTTTTAGTGTGCATTAAATTAATAAAGTTAGTGACAGAAGAAAATAGGTTAAGATTTAGTTATTTAGCTATGTACTCACAAATGTATTCTTTATGTGTACATAAAAATGCAACCATTGATGGATGGATATTTGCAAAAGCAAATAAAAATATGAGTTGTAGAATCTAGGTGGTGGATAGTTCTGTAAATTTGAACATTTTCATAATAAGCATTGGAAATAAAAATAATTAATAAATACTCGTGGAAAAGCTACTATGAAAGGAATAGATATTGTGTGAGGAGTAGAATAATGATGTTTTTGAGTTTGTTATGTTTTTCATTGACTTTGAAAAATCTGAAACTTTTCTTAGTGAAATACTAATTTAGTGGTAAATCTTATAAAGTTCTGTTCACTTTTGATAAAAATTGTTTTATTTTTAAAAACTGTTATGAACATAAGTAAATATAGATAAAAATTACAAGAGTTTATAAAACATTTTGAGGTAAACAAATTGGAGCAGACAAGGATTTAACAACTATTTACAACTTTTATTCTTCTATTTTAGGGAATCTGGAAACATCAAAGCTGGATTAGAACATCTGGTAAGTTCTAATTTTCTCTTGAACATTTGCATCATCTTTGATATCTGCATTCTAAATGAACACTTTTGAATGAGCTTTGAATACCTTGTATTGAGAAAGTCAACCATTTCCCAAAGGGTCAGCTTACTGTTATTATGTGAAGGCACTTACATTTTCATTTCTCTTATCATTTCAAGGAAATTTAAAAATTTTTTTTAAATTACTTTTTTTTGATGTAGAGATGAAATAAAATGGATGACAATCCTTGGATTGATGCTTGCTTTAATTATAAACAAAAATTGTTTGGTGTAGAATTTTTGGCATATCTTGATCTGATGAAAACAAGCTTGTGTTTTAAGAAAAACACAATCAAATATTGCATGCATAAATATGGTATGTTTTAGCAATTTAGCAGCTTTGAAAGAAGTGCACAGCTTTGTCTTTCCTGATGTCTGCTTTATGAATAATGCATTGATTTAAACTACATTCAGATTTAGAACATAAAATAATTGAGATGCAAAATTTTTGGTTTAAGTAAACATTTTAGAGAAAAATGAAATTAAAACTGATTTAGCATTAAAATCTGTCATTGATCAAAAAAATGGAAAACCCATAAATTGTAGTATGTCTGAAATTCGTTGAGCCCACTGTATTGAGTGTTTGTTACAACATTAAGTAGTTCATTTAAACTGAGCATTATAGAGTCCTCTGGTTTCTGGTCAGATCCAAATGTTGAATAATTAATAGTACAGATTCTTTTGTAAATACTGTCTAAGTAGTTTTTTTAATGCAAGCCTTTATTCGTATATCATACCGTAGCTTTGTTAACTATTAATATACTTTTGATTGGCTTCCACAGAAGCAAACAGTGGCAAGAAACAGCTTCGTTTTGACTTACAGCAGTTTTAGAGTTGAAAGGAATTCTTGGTTTTTCTTTTATAGCTAAAGGAAACTGAGGAAACTTAGACTTTTAAAAGTGATCCTAAAAATTAGAAATGAATTATTAAAAAGCAGAGTATAATACTTAGAAAATTTGAGCTGTGTATTTGAGGATTAGAAGTTAGTAAATAACATTGATATTTTCATCATTAAAAAGTATTTCCTGAACCACGGTTTATCATTTCAAAATAGCACATAGATTTAGGACATATGGACATCAGAATAGACATATTAATCTGTAACATCACATTCCAGTATCACTTAGGGGCTTACAACAGGAAGAATAGCTATCATAGTGCCAAAATGAGGTGTCTTTTATTTTTTATTTTTATTTTTATTTTTTGAGATGGAGTCTTGCTTTTTCTTCCAGGCTGGTGTGCAGTGGAGTGATCTTGGCCCACTGCAGCCTCTGCATCCTAGGTTCAAGTGATTCTCCTGCCGCCTGCCACCACGCCCAGTTAATTTTTGTGTTTTAAGTAGAGATGGGATTTCACCATATTGGCCAGGCTGGTCTCAAAACTTCTGACCTTGGGTGTTCTGCCTGCCTTGGCCTCCCAAAATGCTGGGATTACAGGTGTGAGTCACCTGGCCTGAGGTGTCTTTTATATTTTTGTTGTAAGCTATTATTTATTCAAAATACTTTATATTTACTTTGTTCATGTTCTTCAGTAAAGAGTAATGGGTTTGATGTTTCTCTAGTTTAAATTCCATACTTTTTATAGTTACTAGTAGGATCTCATTTTCATTGACTGTTTCACACATTTATATTGTAATTTTATCTAGCAGTGGTTTTCTAACTGTGCCTTGGGCTGCCCAGAAACCTCTCCAAAGCAGATGGTACTCCAGACTTCCATTATTCACTTTAACCAAAATAGTTCTACTTTTAGTTATTTTGTAGAATACATGTTTGAACTTTTTAATAACATTTCATCTGAAGAAAGAGTTCTCTGGCTAAAAATATTTTAAAACTTTTGATAAAACATGGTTATTATTGAAGAATAATTGTATATTAATTATTCTTCCCTATTCTTGAGTCTAAGTTATATTTCATTTTTATCTGTGTCATGTACTGCAAATATATTTCAAAGATAGGCATTTTGGAAATGAGAGAGCCAGGACTAGCATACAGTTAGGTAGTAAGAACCAGATGATTTGAATGCATTTCATCTTAGTTGTTTGAAAGACTGTTACTTGATGTTATAATTGAGCCACTAATTGTGAACTATTAACAGTATATTCATCTATCCATCTGTCTATCCATCCATTCATCCATCTTGCATTGTGCATTAATAATAGTAAAAATTATCAGTATACTCTTTCTTCAGTCTTTGTTTTTAAAAATTATTTATTTATTTAGATTATCATAGAGAATTAGCATTGTTCTAAGAGGAGTAAAAGCCAATATACATTTTAATAAGTTAAGAAAAATTACATATGTAGCTTGTTATGCTTACTACCAGGTAACATACTTGCACTGTTTTTGTACTATATGTTTATATGCTCTTCTGGGTATATAGTTATATGTAACCCTGGAAAGGGAAAAGCAAGTGTGGATCTATGGAGAAAAGAGTGGGATAGGTGGACTGTTCCCCTGGAACCTCTTCAAAGACTGATTTCCTTTACTTAAGATTTTTACAATCTCTTAGACCATTGATTCAGCCTCTCTGTTTTGTTTTTCTTCTTAATCATTTTTTTCTCTTGATGTTGCCAAGTGTTCCTGAGAACTGTCTTAGTATCTCATTCTCCTCAGTTTAAATTTCTTGTAATACACTGTCCAATACCATCTTATTTTTCTCTTCACAAACTTGTTCACTACCCATAAAGCCTATGTCTGTTAAAAGCTCTAGACTGAGACTTTGAAGGCTGATGCTCTGTTATCCATTGATGATTCTTGTCTGATGATTGCAAAATACAGATTATCCAATTCTACTGCTCCCTCCATGTTACAGCTATCACTCTACAGTAAGGAAGAGCCTAGCCTCCTTATTTTATTTATCTGTTTATCAGGAGTAGGACTCATGATTTTAATTTTATTAAATAAGTTATCATCAATTACTTTCCTTATTTATTTTGATGCTCAGATCGTCCCAGATTTATCTAGGGAGAATCCTTTCAAGATGGCTCCTGGGTGCTTATGACAAGTGAGAACACTGACTCTTAATGACACCAATACATTTACTCATTTTCTCAGTCATATAATACACATAAAATAGTTTTAGAATTGCTGCAAATATACTTTGAGTAAAACAACCCTACTAAAAAGAGTTCCAGATTTATTTGCAATTCCTTTTCTCCAATGAGTGTAGTTATGTTACTCATTTGAAATATAGTTGCATTTATTTGTTTCTGTTTGCATTCAATTTAAGTGTCTTTGTCCCCATCCTATTGATTTAATTATGTTTGAACATGTATGATGTTAACATGCTTCCAGAGTTCAAAATTACACATAACGGTATTCTCAGAGAGGTGTGTGTGTGTCACTCTCTTCCTCTTGTGTTCCTGTAGCCAATTGTGGGAGCATATGTTTCCCTTTACCCCTTATAGGTAGCCAATTTTATTGACTTCTGGTTTATCATTCCTCTTTTTTCTCTTTTTCCTTTTTTTTTTTGCGGGTGGGGTTGGGGGGTAAAACTGTGTGTGTGTATGTGTGTGTGTGTGTGTGTGTGTGTGTGTCTGTGTGTTGTGTGTGTTTTTGTATTCTTTTTTCCCTCCTTTTGTTCATTTTTTGCTCAGCAGTATAACCTGGAAAAATTAGTTTGTACTATTATATTTATTGTTTCTTTATTAAGGGTCTGATATTTTAGCCTACTTGGCATGCCTTCCACAGTTGTATAGATGCTGGCGGAAGACATGAGATTCCTTGGTCAGAGGCAAAGTGGTTTATTGCTAACAGCACAACAGGTAACACATGCTTCATGTGTATAATAGTATCTCTTGACCCCCAAGTTCCAAGAAGTAATGCTGCATACTCAGTGGATTTGTGTCATAGCTGAGTAACTCCAAGTGTAGGAGTTCTTTAAGAGAGCTTAAGCTTTAAGGAGTTCTTTAGGAGCTCTCCTGATAAACCTGTCCAAATTTTGGGTAAATACATCTTTATTATCCTAGTCAGATAACAAAATTGCCTTCTGGTCCAAGGGGAGACTTTATCTCTATCTTCCAAGATTACACTACAAATGTCTTTGAAAATGCAGTCTAGAACAAAAGCTGATGTAGGATATACAGCACCACTATAGAGAATTGTCTCTTAAGAGATATAATTGGCTGGGTGCCTCATGCCTGTAATCCCAACACTTTGGGAAGCCGAGGTGGGAGGACTGCTTGAGTCCAGGAGTCCAAGACCAGTGTGGGCAATATAGGGAAAACCCCCCATCTCAAAAAAAAACTTAAAAAAATTTTTAAAAACTATTTTTATTATTTTCCTAACTATGAAATCTAGAAGGGTTTGCAGTTTTGTTCTTGTGGTTAACTTTCTATTTGTGTTTTTTATTGTTCTTTGATTCTGTTTTATTCCTGCTTAACTTTTTATTTAGTTAGTTATATTTGACAACTAGTAATCAATTTATTAAAATAGCTGACTTAAGCACCTGCAGTGATGACTGTAACTTCAAGTCCTGGCCCAGTATTGATGGAAATAATCAGCTTAACAATTTCAGAATTACCATGCAAGGCAATAAGTAGCTTGTGGGTTCTCATTTGAAAGTGAACCCATGTCTCAGAACCTTCACTACAAAGCAATTTTCTTATAGTGATTCTCAAAGTGTTGGTAGGCATCCAAACTGGTCCTTTGACTTTGAGATTCTTTTCCTCTGTGCCTCTGATCAAGTCAGCACACATCTCCTTCAGGGATGTTGTTTCAGCTGCATGTGTGTGTGTGAATTCTAATTTGGTGAATTGCCACCTCTGGCATCATGGATGTTTTCTTGGCATTTTTAAAAGCCATGGCTGTAGCACAGCTTCCTGATGGACTTGTTACTGGCAGAGAGCAAACAGCAGTGAGTCAGGAACAGGAGCAGGTAGACCAGAGTCCCACAGCAAAGGCAACCAATTGTGTCTTCATCAAAAAGCCCTACTTTCTGACACCT